GCTGAACATTTTTTTCTTATGCACCTGTTTTGTCAATTCAATCAAAATTATCAAAATAATAGATGATTAATTAAAAAATCAAGATTCTATAAAATAAATATTTAATTTTTAATTAAAATTTTTAAATGAATCATTTCTAAAATGACTTAACAAATGACGGAGTTTTACCTTCGGATACTGCTGGTGAATTGGAGATTTATAATTCAATTGATGACGACATTCCAGAAGCATCTGCCACAAGAAGCTATTCTGTAATTTCTCGCAATTTAAAATGGAAAAAACAGATACGTTATCTACAATTCCTTTCAATGGGGAAAATGAAGATAAAATAAAACTTGAAGACAAATTGCATAATAAAAATCCATTAGATATTTTTAATTTTCGGCGAAGACTTATATTCCCTAATTGTAGATCAAAGTAATATTTATGCAAAACAAATGAATAGGTCGAATAATGTATAACCATCCCTGATATTAAGAGATTTATTGGAATTCTATTTTTGACAGACAATACTAAAAACATATACATGATTGATTTTATAAAGTTAGGCCTTACAAAACCAAATTATCATATAATATATGTTGATAATTTCTATACCTCAAAACTTTTGTCATACTTAAAACAAATGGGATATTTTACAAATGGAATTGTGAGGGATAATAGAATGGAGCATTGCCCAGTTGAATCCATAAATGCTGTAGCAAAAAAGAAAGAGGATATTATGATTATAGGTTCGAAAAATGAAATATTTATAGGTTGGAATTATAATACAGTGGTGACGAGGTATTCCAAGAAAATATCTTCTAAAATAAAAATTCCTCAACCAAATATGATCACTGCTTATAACAAACACATCGGTGGAGTTGATCTGTGTGATAATCCCTATAGAATAAAAAGAGAGGAAAAAGGGCGATGGCCAATATTCACCAATTTTATCTATGTAGCTTTGGTAAATTCGTGGAAAATTTGGAAATTCATGAATCGAGAGGAGAAGAAGAGATTGCTTGCATTTAGGCGAGAAGTTACTACTTCATTTGAACACCAATTAAAATTTATAAAGATTTAAGTAAAGAGCACGCTAGCCAGTTTGCATTATAGAGCGAAAACCCTACTGATTCATCTGGAAATTATTTATCCAAAATTATAGATGGAAAAAGACGTAGATGCAGATATTGCCATACGCACTCAAAATATATGTGCCAAACATGTCAAATCACACTTCATAGTAAATTTTTCAAGGATTTTCATAATATATAAACATTTTCTCGTTTTTATTATAAATTACAAAAAAAAGAATAAAGATTTCTATTGTTTTTTGATCTTATATTATTATACATAATTTTTATCTTTTTTAACCTCTTAATGGTTAACGGTGCAGATATGCACCAGGCTAGATTTTCTATTTAGGATTATTTTTTTCTGCTGATTTTTTTAGAATATCATATTTGAGCATTAACCAATATAATTTGAAAATATTGTGCATTTTTATCCACTAGAAAAATCTTGACTAAAAAATTAAAATTCTTTAGTATAAAAAGTGAAAATATCTGATTATTGATAAGTTAGCAGCAAAATTTTAAGCATAATCCATAATTTCATAAAGAGCTATCTATTTTTTTTATCAATTTTTGGAGTCGATAGCTTCGCCAAGGTTTTGATATTGTATATATATTTAACACAGGTGTCTAAATAAAAAGCAATAAAAAAATTTGAAAACAAACTCACTATTTTGTTTAAAAATACAGGTAAGGCAATTTAAATAAACCGAATGTTAAAAGCCTATAATAGCGCCAATACTTATTATTCTTTGTTAGCCCATTAGAGAATTACTTTACCTACAAAATGATATATTATAATTTTTTTTATTATAAATATTTTTTGAGATATAAGCATTTTAAAAATTTTACACATTCCAAAGTGGCTCTTTTTTGTACCTTTGAGCCCCTATATCTCAAGAACAAGGTGTGCCAGCGAGCTAAAATAAACGGCTTTCTTATTCATTTACCTATTTAAATAATTACAGAAATTTTAACAATTTTAAAAGGGGTCGGCCGAATCGTGATTTATTTGACGTGGGAAATATTATTTAAACTTAAATACATTTATTTAATTACAAAGTAGAGTATTATAATATTATTATTCTATAGGCGAGATTCCAGGTTACTATTTGGTAGCAAAATAACCGTTTATGACAATTTTTAGCCGGCTAATGTGTTTTTAGCCGATAACTATCATGCTTTGGGATTTTCTTAAAAATATAGCAGCCCAGATTTGAAAGTAGCTAATATAAATTAAAACGCCTTAATGTTAATATATTTTCTCTGGCACGCATCTCTGGATTGAGGTAAAATTAGCCGGTATTTAGTGATTACTCAACTATAATCTTTAGACATGATGCCTTAAATTTCTTAAGAAATTTTTATCTCGTGGCACTCGGAAAGATTATATGTGCAGTATTATGTATTAACATAATATATGTTTAGAATTCATTAAACTTATTATATTTTTGTATTATTTAAATATACACGCAAATACAAGAATAATTTTAATATTATTAAGAGTTACATTCATAAGACAAAATATAATAACTAGTACTATTATTTCCAAGACGCAATAAAATGGCGTTAGTAAAATTCTTAACTGAATCAAATTTAAATTTAAAGACTGGTACGATCTAAACAACTTTTAAGTTTACTCGTTAGTTCAAAAAATTCCCGTTTTATTTTACCTGATCCAATTTTCTCTAAAGATTCTATTTAACCAAAAATACTATTTTAGATATAAAGGATTCATAGAACTAAATATAAGAATAAATACTCTATTTAAAGGAAAAATTAATGTTAGAAAGACTTAATGTAAAAATATGTGTGAATTCAATGCAACTGATTTGAAATTTTGATAATTAGAGTTATATTAAAAAAATTAAGAATTGCATACCCAAAAATAATAAAAATTTATAAGTTAAAAAGATGTTTAAAATAAATATAGGCTATTAAAATCTTTAATTTCATAAATTAAATACGAAGAAAGATATTAAATATCATTAAATATATTTTATCATTTTACCATAAAATTAATATTTTTTATTATACAAATATATATTAAGCAATAATTTATTAAATTCATACAGACTTTAAAATATTCTGAAAGTATCAACCATTTATCGATTTTCTCTAATTCTGGCGGTATATTTTGGCAAATACATTTTGTTGCTCTTTTTATATCAAGATGTCTATAAATTTTAGTTGTTATTTTTAACATTTAAAACCCAACCATAAATACTTTTGTATCGGTTCTTCTGAGCACCCTGTAAAACATTTTAATAGATATCAACAATAAAAATGGCGTGTAACCGGATATTTGTATTTCCGCCATACTTCGAAATTTATTTAATAAATGAATAATCTAAGCATAGGTAGCTGAGGAGGAGGGTGGGTTAAGTGAAAATCTTTATTAAATACTTCCACTCAAACATCCCTTCAAAAAATATACATCAAGAATTTGAGAAAAATTTGTAAAAGTTAATAATTTTAAAAAATAAAAATTGATAAAAACCCACAATTATTTTTGTGAAAATGTACATAGCCAAAGGTCTTACAATAAGTGGACCTAAATACCTCCAATAATAAAATTATGGCAGAAAACCCAACCCAATGCCCCCATCCGTAACATATGTCTGGCTACGACTATTCTAGGTTACATGACATTGGTTTCAATACTTCGTAATCTCAATTTAACAAATTTGAAGCACCTCAATATCTTTTGATCTATAATTTTTTAAACATTATTCTTGATAAATATTGTCACGGATTTCTGTGAGAACCAAACGGCATAATTATTTGACATATCTTAATTTTTTTTTCATAGCTACTTTCAATTAACGATTAAATCACTACCTAGACTTCAATAAATCAACCTTTTATTATTAAACTAGTTTATATAATGTTATTTATAATAAGATACAAACTTCTTTTCACTTATAAACGAATTATCACTGCTCTAGTAAAGTAATGATTACTTTATTATTCTTGAATATTTTCTCGACTTTCACCTTTGCAAATCTATATCGATCTTTTGAATTTCTCACAACTAACTTCATTATCACATTTATTCTCCTCATTTAGGAAATGCGAGCAATTCAGCCAGTCACAATAATTAAATTTATCAAAAAATATCCTTAAATTTTAATATAATGATAGACTCAAAAATTTTACCAATTATTCAACTATAATATAATTTTATGAGATTAATTATTTATAAATGTTAATTTTTATTAAGATTAAGTGACCTTTATTGCCAATGCCAACTTTAACTATTTTAGGCATAATTTGGATCAAGGTTTTTTTCACACTTTTCATTTTGAAAATTTTTGACAATTACTATACCCTCTTTATCAAATCTCATAGGTACAATATTAATTATTTTTTTATTTGATCATTTTAAAGGTTTGTAAAAAATAATATTAAGAACAAATTTTAACAATCCACAGATTGATAAAAGTTTAATCAAAAAAATAACATATTATTAATAGGTCAGGAGACTTTTACTACAATTAATTTATTGAAATATAGTTTCTTTGATATTTTTGATATCAAATATTACTTAAAACTTTAAATCTAAAATATGAACTTAAAAAAATATAATGTCAAGATAAAATATTTTTTTAAATGATTATAGATATCTCCTTTACACTTAATTCCTTTTATACTTATGCTATTATAAAAGATTAATTTTCTTATTGAAATCAAATCTCATGTTTCTATCTAGAAAGCAAAGAATCTGCTTAGTTAATGTTTAAATTCACGACGAAGCCAGATAATCTGTATGACTTCTATTAAACTTAAAATTCATGATAAAGATTCTAGTAATAAATAATATTAACATAAAATATATTAAATTTAGCTTGAATATTATTAATCAAAGTTTTTATTAAAAATATTTAAATGTTGGAAAATAAAATACAAAATGGCCCATATATTGTTATAATTTAATCCAGCATATGCAATAATCACAAACAATTTTTGTTTTAATTAGTGTTTAGTGTTTAAATAAGATAATAATTTATTTCAATAATTTAGATATATAGAGATATATAAATTATGAATTTTCATTGTTCAAGACAGTTTCTTCTTCTTTTGGTAATAATTTTTTAGCTAAAAAAATAAAATAATTACTTTAATAAAGTGAAAGTATTTATTGGCTATTCACACCATTTCCAAATTTATAATGAGTCTAATTCATATAAATTATTTGATCAAATGATTTATTTAAATATTTAGCATGCAGATTTCAATTTTTTAAAACCTAAAATCCTTATAATTTAATTATTAAAGAAATTACGAAATTCATTCCAACACTGTCAAATAAAATATACCTGAGAAGAAAAATTTTTTGACGAAACCTTATAATAAAAATTAAGAAAATATCAAATTTGATTAAATGTCTTCAATATAAACATATTATACTAAAAATGAATGAGAATTTCTGAATAAAATAAGATTCAGGATTATTTTAAATACTCGATAATTGTTATAAATTATATTATAATTGAGTCATATTTGTATACCTTCAGGTTTTCTCTTATTTATATTTATATCTATTATAGTATTTTAATAAAGAAAGAATATATAAAATAATCTTTCGACTCGAGTTTTATATAACATAAAGTAAATAAATATATGTTGTAAGAAATGTATTTTTTTACCTTTTTCCATAGTATGCTCTACTCCGGACCCTGATATATGGTCTGTCAGATTCCAAGTATAAATATATGAGATAAAAATTTTCAAATAATTATATTTTAATATATATATATATGTGACATGTTTTTCTGTAATAAGAACTAATCAGAATTCTTCAGTGGTTATTGAGAATCTCTCATTTATAAATTATTTATTACAAAGCGATTCTTAATTTTGAAAATTCTAATTATATCGAAAATAAAATTACAGAGGGATAGAGTTCGATTCCAAGAAAATTTCTAAATAATCTAATATATTATGAAAACATAAAAATTTATAGAAGAGATGCACATATGAGAATATGTTTCCGGTAAAACAAAGCACATTGTAAAATCGCCCTTAATAAATAGTTAAAAATTGAGATTCCTAATCACCATTAGAAAATTCCTAATTAATACCTATTCCAATTCGTTGTTCCGAACAAATTTCTATATCGGTTGAGATTAAGAACAATAATAAAGGAAAATAATTATTTTTTAAAAAGCTTAGTTTTAATTAAGTGTTCTTAAAAGTAATAATTTATATATTTTGTTGATAAGACTTAATTCGTAATTTTAATCAAATATATATATACCCATTTTGGTAAGTTCTATATATAGAAATTTATCATAAATGCAATTAATTTTAATATATAGATTTTATAATGACATGATAAATTTATGTAGTAATTTTATTTTTAACCTTGGACACCGTCTACTGGAGGTAAATCCCCCTCAAAAATCTTTAACTACCCTCTAAATTCATCATTTCGGCTGTGATATTCTTAAGCCCCTAAAACTAAAGGTATAAATTTTATTGCCCCCGCAACGTTTTAATTACAATAGGTTTATAATAAAAGTATTAAATAAATTTTTACAGCAGTATTTGTTGGCCTTTTCATCTAAAAATTATTTGATAACCTTCAATAATTACCAATTCCTACCGTTAGATGTCTATCCCTTACCCCTTCAAATATTTGGTAGCAAACACCCCTCGAATATACATTTGTTTTATTTTAACGTAACTAATAAGCTCTCATAGCTTTTTGAGCGCTACATGTATGAATGTTAATATTTTTATGCAAAGTATGATAATATAACAACATATTCTCCACTTTAATTTGTTGGCGTGGTTTGCTGCTATTATTTAGTCTTGACACATACTCCCTTCTACTGCGGAACTTGATATAATGTCGTGATGGCGTATGGAATCGGAGAGACTTACTTTATAATAGTAGTTCTCTAACGGGATAATTGTTAATTTGAGTTTAAAGTTCAAAGCGATATGAGAACTTTTGAAGAATGAAATTATTAAGCCACATGGTGACAATCTAGGAGGTGTATAGCAGATTATAGTATGTATCTTTTAACGATAATTGGTAAGTATTTAAAGCAAAAAATCTAGCATAACTGTTTTGAAGTAAATAAAGTTTGGAATTCAAATTTGGAATCTTTATTAATAATTTATTCATAGAAGGTATATGCCATAATTACAGCAGATATTTTACGATAGTATTTCAAGCAATAAATAGTAATAGGGAAATATATAAAGTGATAAAGCCGAAAATGATCCCTGTCTAAATTAGCCAAATTATCATGCATAGAACAATTTTAAAACTTTTATTTATGAAAATAGATTATTAAATTTTGAATCATATGGCGCGCTTATTAAAAATTTGAAGTGTGATCCTTAATTTAACGATGGCGTGTAATCAATGGAAGAAGAGGTTATTAGTGTTATAAGAAAAAGAGGCTCGATATAGTACATATTTTGATTCTATAATTGCATTCAAAGATATCAACTATGTTTGTTTTCAGCGTTATAATATATGACTAGGGTATGATTTCAAAATGGTGTGTTTTCCGGATAATCCAACATATCAGAAACAAATTGCTTTTAAAAAATAATAAGGGAGGGAGTGGGAGGTGGGAATTTTGCATAGAAGGATGATAGGGATAAAATTTAAGATGTGTTTGGTCATTTTTTTATAGATTTACCTTGGATTATATAAGGTATTACAAAATTTGATCTAAATAATCTATTTAAGATGTGTTTTGTCATTTTTTATAGATCTACCTTAAATTATAAAAGGTATTACAAAATTTCATGTAAATAATCTATTTAAGATATGATTTTTTGAAAATTATTTTAAAAAATTGAAGTTTCCGCCTATATTTAAATAAACGTTTTCTTATTTACATTATTATACCTAGTTATTAATTTTCTTTGATATGCAGTATATATTATATTGATTCAGATATTAAAGAGATTTAAATATTGATAGAAAGGTAAAAAAAATTGTGATGAAGAAGAGGGGTTTGAGGGGAAGAGAAGGTAAATATTTTAGTGATATAAAATTCTATAAAGGATTAAAGTTTTAATTGGCTTAGAAAGCTAGCAAAATGGCCAGGGAGTTAGGAAGGCTAGATAAAATCTTTAGAGAAATGTAAATTCAAATCAATGGAGAAATATAATTTGTGTAAGAGTCAAGAAGGAAGAAGATTTAAGTAACAAAGAAATACATTATTTAATTTATTTTACTGGAATACAAATAGTACAATATAAATTCTCACCGTCATATTTTGGAGGTTGTGCATCCCCTATAAAATAAAAATATCAACTTTAGAAGTTTGCATAAATTTTTAAAACAGGCAATGTATTAAATTTTAGATTTAGATAATCACTTATATTATATTTACCATATAAAACGTATTAATACTTACAATATGGTCCTGTATATCGAGTTTGAATGAAAAAAATTTAATTATCTTTTAAAATTAAAACCAATAACTAGATTTAAATTAACCTAAATGTTAAAATTTAAAAAAAATGAAAAATTGTTAATAACTTTAAAATCAACTTTTAATATATTTTTATTTTACTTATTTTAACTTTATGATTTTTAATTTTTGTATTCAAAATTTTGTTGGAAAATTGTTATGTTTATTTATGCTTTTTCGTTATTTTTTTTTGGATCCTAAATTATTTTATATAAAATTTTAATTTGCATATATATTTTATTTTATTATGAGTAACTGCACTTAAATGTTTTTGTGACTGTTATAATTTATTTAGTAAAATTTTATATTTGTTTTATAGTCAGTAGAAAACTTTGGTAAACAAATATAATGTATCGTATTTCAAAAATGTTTCTATTTATGATTTTTTATAGTTAAGTAGGCGCGTATTCGGTAGCTTCTTCTTCCCCTCCCATCCTTATCATTGTAGCAAAGTTATATTTTAAATATTTCTTCGCTAATGATATCTGACATTAACCATAGGCGATTATCAAAATTATCAATTTTTTTTGTAGATATCGATAAAAATACAACGCTATTATTTTAATAAAACACCTAAAATATTAATAAAGTTTAACGCTATACATGATTATTAATTCCCTGTTTATTAATATTTTATCCCACAAAATTTCGATTTTTTTTTAAATCTTGAAAATTGATGACTACAAGATAATTTCAACAGCTAAAAATAATATATTTAATTTATCTCTTCTAATAACTAATAGGCAACATCTAGAGTGTAAGAAATTATTATATAAAAAGCAAGGAGATAGAATTTAAATGTTTTTTTTTACAAGTTGCGAACATTAAATAAAACAGATTATTTAGTATTTTCCTATATTATTTAATAAAAAATTTATATTATTATAAATCATAAAAAATGACTCACTTGTAGGTCTAAGCCATCCTTGACCTGAAAAACATTTGTTATATAAAAAATTTCAATATTATTAACATCATTTGTTTCAATAAACATTAAATAAACTTAAAATTTCTGATAATAAATTACATGAAACACAATATGAGTTAAAAATGCTAAATATTTAGATAAATTGAATTCAGTTATGCAAAAAAAAATAAAAATGGTGTGAATTTGCAGCTATGAAAAGAAATAAAAATTGAGGAAAGTAAGAGAAATTCTTTTTCATTATATGTTATAGCCAATATTTTAAGCTAAAAGCTTTTGAAAGGACAAATATGCTAGGGACCAGTTTGGAAATTGGTTAAATGGATAATATCTAAATTAAACAGAGGAATGAATTTATTTACGTGGTAGTAGAGTATATTTTTATGCACTTTTAAAGAGGAAATAAAAAAAAATTCGGGTAATGAATCTTAAGAAAGAGCTACTTAATACATAAATTCAAGTTTTTTAACTTAAATTAATTCTTGGAAAAAATTTATTTCCAATAGATAATTATGAAAAGAACTTCAGATATCAGAGTTTTTTGCTTTTTTTTAGCCATTTTAGATATGCGATAAATTCCATAAAAGAAAAAAATAGTTCTGTGCTGTTAGACAAAATTAAATGATCAAAGAAGAATGTTTTATGAATAAAAATTAATTTAATAAAATTAGTAAAGAAATTTGTTGATAAAAGTGGTTATAAATTATGAGAGATACTTGCAATTTTAACACGATTGGGAGAGGATTATGATACAAGTACAAAATTAAGGGGAACCATCCCTAATTATGTGAAAGATAGATTAAATATTCGAGATGTATTTAATAGAGTAAAAGATCGGGTTAGTCCTTTGGGTATAGTCAAATCGCTCTCATAAGCTGTGCAATTAGTTTGCATCCCAAGAAAAATATAAAACGGTAGTGTATTATAAAAGGCTGTAAGATAGTTGAGATTCATAAATTATAAAAATTATTAAAAAATCTTTGATTGATTGAAATCTAAATTGAATTTTACAAAATGTTTTATAGCATAATATAAAACTTACCAATAACAGCTATAGAAAATAATAAATTGTATTTTATATAATAATAATTATATATATATGGTAAATTCCACGAGAAGATAACAATAACGTGAATTTCAACCCGATCCTATCATATTTTTTAAAAATTTTAACAAGAATATGTTTAAATTAAGTAAAATTAAGATTTTAGTCCCCCAACTTCAAACAGCAGCCGAGATATGAGTCTCTAAATGTCGAAAAATTTTCAATTTGGGTAAAATGAACTCCCTTTAACTATATCTATAAGTAATATTTCAAAATTAATTTTTATAATTTTCTCAGATAATGAAAATTTAATAGTTAATTATTTATTCTTAGTCATCCAAACATTTCTTAGGCACGTTTATCCTCATACATAGGCGTGGCCAGAGAGAGGGAGGAGGCGGGGGGGGGGCAAAAAGAAATTTTCTCCCTCCTTCAGAAATTTATCACTTTTGTGAATATCATTTTAAGCTAATAAAAAATTTCCCATTAGTCCTCCCCTTCCCACTCCCTGACCCCCAAAAATGTATATCTAAATTTGAAAGAATGAATGTAAAAGTTTATATTTTTTTATAAAATCCTAATTTAGCTTTTATATATAAAAAAAAGTGAACCAAAAATGCTAGAAATGGAATATAAGCCTAAGATAAGTCTTAAGACAAAAGTGAAATGTATTATAATTATTAGTAATAGATCCATAAAATTACTAAATAATATAATATATCTATTTTTTATAAAGTGAGTAATTTTAATTTATTTATCTTAATAAAAGTAAAATATAATTATAAAACTATTAATTAAATTATAGATTAAATAAAAAGATTAAAGCACAATACAAACAGTAGAATATTATATGTCGTAGATTTACATTATATCTAATTTTATCAATTATCATAAGATATCAAATAATTTTTACCAATATAGCAATTTATATATTTTACAGAAAACTATAAAATATTGATAAGGACATTAGAAAATATCTTTTAAAGACATTGTGGGATGAATAATATGAAGATTAATTTTTAATATTATTTTTTATTTAAATTAAATTGATTTTTTTTTCTCTTTAGCTTTTACCTTTTCTGGTGGTAAGCTCCTTCAACATCTCTCTCCACTTTATGTTATTAATACAATCTCTTTTATCTAATTTATACTACTTTATATTGGCTCTAACTTTATGGCCCCATTGAAGTTTTGACCCTTGTTACCCCAGCAATCATCCTCGGCATTCTCATCTCCATGGTTTGTAGACTTATCCCGTCTGATTCTTTGGTTGGCCATGTTTCCGAACTATATAGAATAGTTGGTTGTATTTTGGAACTGTAAATTTTTCCCTTTAATTTGTGTGGGATTCTTTTATCAAATAGCACTCCAGATAAAGATCTCCACTTTAGCCACCCTTGATTAATCTTACTCTTTATCTCTTTTTCTATTGTGCCGTTTGTTTGTATAGTGGAGCCTAAATATTTGCAGCTTTCAATTGCCGATATCTGCCATTCATTTATATCAATACACTCTGTTTCATCTCCTCCTATCACCATATACTCCGTCTTTTCTCTATTTACTTTTAATTCGTGCGTTTTTAGGATATTTATCCAACTCACTAGTCTTTCTTTCATTTCATCTTTAGATTCGGCAAGTATCACAATATCATCTGCAAATATCATATTCCACGGGACTGTTTGAGGTATAGACTGTGCTAATACATTTATTACTGTAATGAAGAGAAGTGGGCTGAGAGCCGACCCTTGATGAACTCCTTCGGCTATTGTGAAGCCTGCTGAAGTACCTGTTGTGCTACGGACCATTGTTGTATGGCCCATATACATATATTGATGGCGTTAAATAATTAATGCAAATTGTTGCTATATTTATTATCATGTGCATTGATTAGTAAAATATGTTAAAATATTAAGTAATTCTCTAACTGTAAAGTGGAATTTTACCTGGTATTTTGTAATTAATTTTATATAATAGAGGAATATCAACTCTATATCTACTTACTTTTTATAAATGAATTTCTTATTGTTTAGAATAAAATTACCATGCTTATATATTTATGTATATACAAGTAATTTATCATATTTTATATAAACTAATAAAAATATATTTCATATTTCTTTCAAGCTTATTTTTTTTGTTAAAATTAATCTCCTATCTTGTAAAATTATTTTATGACTATATTTAGACTAGGGTAACCCGGCCGAAGGCCTGTCCAAAATAGGGTCTTGGGGCGAAGACCCCAGTAATTTTTAAATCCCCCCCCCTTAGGAAAATCTTGGATACGCCTATGTCCTCATCTAATTAAATGGATTATGATAAATATACTGTCTAAAAGAATTATGATTCTAGGAGCGAAATAAATATATTATATAAGTTACCAATAGCCCCACTCCCCTCCCTTATTTAATTTCATATTTAAAACCTAATATAATAAAATAAAAAAGATTTTAACTTAAACCTATTACAATTAATTTTTATATTTATTGCGAATTTATACAATTGATTAATATTTAAAATGTCATATTTATTAATCAATCTTATAGCTATATATAAAAAAAATGTGAGAAAACTATCATTTCAGGTTTTCTATTTAATGTTTTAACATTGAAATTTTTTCAAACAATTTTTAACACTATGTTACTTTAAAGGCCTATCATTAGTCAATAAAAAGATTATGATACTTCTAGCTCAATTTTCTCCAATAAGATTAAAAGGAGATCATTTGCCTAAAATGCCCAATTTTTTCGATTTTAGTGGTCTGTATCTCATTAGATGTTTGGAGTTGGAGGCTAAAATTATATATTTTTTTCTTTATTCAAACTCTTAAAATTTTAGTAAATTTTGAGAAGGTCGGGTTAAAAGTCATATCGATTTGTCATAAAATTCACCATATTTGTTAGCATATATGTGTTTTTTTCAGTTAATATGGTATTTTGTTTCTCAACTTAAATCTTTTTTTAAAAGGTGTTTTTAAAATTTTTAACTTAAGATTATGGTTGAAATGCATTTTGTTATGAACTTTTAATTAGATTTTATTTAGATTTTTATATATTTTAAACTCAAAATTAAAGGCAAGATTCTTTGAAATTTATAGGGTAGGTAGTCTAAACATGCTTAAAATACTTATCCAATAAGTTCTTGAAATTTAAAAAATAAGTTAAAGTTGAAAAAGAAACTAACACATTTACGCCAAAAATAAATATTTGTCATCTTTAAGGAATTTTTTTTAAAAATATTGTGATGATATAATTCTCTTTTATCAAAATTAAATATTTATTAAAATTAAATATATAAAAGATATATTGTAAAATTATTGAACATTTATTTACTTCCCAATTATTTTAATTTTCTTAGAAATCATTTTGTATGTAGAAATGATTATTATCTTATGATATATTCGTGAAGCGACAACAGACAAGTTATGACAAATAGTTCAAAATAACTTGATAATACTTACTACTAGTTCCTTTTATAATATCTAAATATGAATATAAAAAATTTGATAACTGCTTAGTTAAAATAGTAGTTAATTAAAAAAAAAATAATACTAGATTTTTATTTATAATAAAAAGCCATTCTAATCATGTACAATGAATCATTTTAGTAATATTATCCACATATAAACTTCTAAATATTAGGATTAATATTAAACCTCTCTTTTCATACCAACAATATTCGTCTCTATATGTATGCGCTTTATAAAATATAATATTTTTTAAATATATTTTAATGAATATAATGGTTAGGATGACATTTCCTATATAGAATAAAATGAAAATAGGAGCAGGAATCAACGGGTACAGAGGGGTGAAGCCATTAGTATTTGATATGCATATTAAGGAATATGCAGCCAAGAGAAACAGACGTGGAAACAATTTCACCTTATACATGTCGAACTAAATTTTAAATTATTATAAAGGTACCCTTAGCTAACAGAACCGTTATAGAGAAATGAACCGGT